AATTTCCGGGATACAACGAACGGTATAGAGCAATGGAATATGAAAGGAAAACTTGATTCTAAAAATCACATCCCCTGAACTGATGACCCTATAGAAGAGCAGTGAGCCTCATGTAGCGTCAAAGCAGATGCGGGGTAAAGGAGGGAGGGAAACTAGTAGCGCTATTGAGCCTGCGATGCTACGGCAGGAATGAAATTTTAACCCATAGTGACTAATATTTAAAAGGGAGCTATTGTTTATCCATTGCACTCATTCAATAAGTAGTTGTGGCATGATCAGTTCCATAAACTCAAGTTTTTGATCTTCTACGTTACAGGTACTCGTAGCAAACAGAGGAGAAGTAGCAGCACGAATACTTCGAACCCTCCGTGAAATGGAAATCGAATCCGTTGGCATCTATACGTACGAGGACCGCTTCACCCAGCACCGTTTGGTAGATCATTAGCTTCCATACAAGCGACTACTAGCGGTGCTAACACAGTGATCATTCAAGGCGACGGCGGCATTCATGGGTATTGTGAAAAGGGCACACAATCTTTGCTAACTTTGCTGAATCTCACCAGAAAGTATCGAAGGCACGGTTCAGTGCTGGAGAATGATTAAGCAAAGATACTTGAGTTCTAGACGATTTTGGCCGAAAATCCTCCCATGCCCTAAGAACATATTTTAGTATGTAACATCGCTATCACTCGGGGGCGGAGTGAGGATGATGGGATGAGCACGCGTCCGGCTGCCATGATTTCCCAATGGTGATTGGCTCGCGACCGATTCAGGAAGAAAACAAGCAGTGTGGTGTTCGTCCATCCCTCTTGCGAGCCGATACGCTCATGCAAGCGTTGCGCAGTAGTTACACTCTGCCGAAACCCCCATGTAGAGGTCAAATGCATGCCGCATTGCAGAGATCGCTCAACAAAAAAAACTTTTTTCATCAATCTCATTGAGAAGATTGTTATAGTCAAAGCAAGTTGGCACTAGATGTGATGGGCGACAGTGAGTCAAAAGCGGGAGGAAGTGGTCGAAAGCATCCGAAATAAGGCCGTCACTAATCGCTTCAACGAAGAGTTATACAATCACTAGTCACCTCCCTGGAGATAGAGCATCGCTGGCCACCGAGCACTGGGGCAAATCATGGCAATAACGTGAAAAGACATGATATTGAGCGGCAGCAAAGCCTCGAAGACAGCGTCGGCAATCAACCAAAGTCAGAAAGTAGTTTAGAATACAAGATGGGTGGGCTTGTGGTCATAGAGGGTATCCCACTTTCGCGGCTCAGAAGCGCTTGATAAAAGCACCAGCTCAGCAAGTATGAGCTGATTCCGCCTGTTCCACATCGATCATTTCTCATTAGCAGATAAGTTAGCGGTGATAATTGTAAACCTCATCGAATATGCCGTGAAGAAGTAGCAAGTGGAGATTAGATACAGAGAACTCGCCCAAAGTTCAATTAGCCCGTACGTGAAGTATTGTTCAAGGAAATTTCGACGTTTCTCTTTGCTTTTTTCTTCTTTAGCATTGCGCTTACAACATGACCTAATGGTTCTAAAGTCTAGAACCTGTGAAAGGCGATCGGGCACTGTCTTTAAGGCAGTATTCAAAACATTCTGAACAGAAATAGGGACAGCCTGAGTTATCAATAGACCATGAAGCAGCGGTCGAAGATCTGCGATCAAGCGAATAACAACCAAAAACTATATTAGAATCGCAGAATTCCAAAAAAGGTAGTAGAAAATCGCATGTGCAAAGTGAAGAAGTTCCCGTTAATCTGAAGAAATGGAAGGTTTGAGATTCGGGAATTTATGGGTTAAACCCGCTAGTCCGATTCTGATTGCTTTCGACCATTGCTGCCGTAAATAGGCTTTGTGGTCTTGACGGGGTGGCGTTGAAGGCACTTCTCGCGACTGCACACATAGGTAGCAGGGTTCAAAAACAGGAGTGTATTGTGCTAGTTGATTAAGAAAAAAGTGGAAAACCGTCCTCAATATGACCTCCTTCCTTGCACTTGATCATGATCATCGGACGAGAGTAGGATGGTCAAGATCAACAGTGATATGCAGAAGGTGACGATACACTGCAAAGCGCAGAGAGACCAGAAAATGACGGGCGAGAGAGCACAACGGCATTAGTACGACGACACGGGCAAGGTAGGCCGGCATGGGCCTCCTTGGGCCTAAAATCGAAGTTTACTGTGCTTTGCATGCCATTTTACAAGTTTTGAATGCACGAAACCTCTACAATCCCGAATCATCTGACACATTTAAAAGGTTGCAGCCTTAGTTCATTGCGGAAAGTGCCTTTAAGTGTTCTAAGTGGACGCCCTGCTGGGAACGGCATCACGCTGCCTCCAGGGGCATGCATCCCCTTCCTTACACATATAGCGAAGTTTAGGCCCTGCTCAGCTATTCGCGTCATGAAGTTATACGCGAATTATGTTAGAGTATTCTCCAGCTTCTCTCTTCTTGCAACCTCGGCATCTTAGTTGTAAGTCTTTCAGTTGTTGTGTGCCTTACGAGGTTGATAGGTGGAACATTTATTAATGGCCTAACGTTTCGACTCAATCGTCGTCTTCAGAGGCCAGTTGTTCCACCCTTTAAGCGGATAGGTCCGCAGCCACACCACAGAGCTGTTAGTAGAGAAATCTTAGTTAGAGCTAAAATTTAAACTAATAGTTAGAGCTATTAGTTGTAGCACTCCCGCTGCGCTGGATCCGGTTGTACCATGGGAAAGTGACAGCAGGTGGGTAGACGAGAAAGACAAGCGGCATCCAGTCTTGGTGGGGAAAGCTCTCTCAATGTTGCCGCTGCGAGCCTTAAGTAGCAGTAGATTTCGAGTCCGTCCTCGAGCAAAGGTGACATCTGAATTCATATATTATTTTGTCCCAAAAGTTCGTGACATTTTTCAAGATCTCGTATCAAATCTTACCGCAGCTATTTCGAGATCCAGTTATGTGGCCTACAGGGAGTGTGTAAGTGAGCATCCTCACAGTTGCTTTACCGTCCCTCGCAGTCGCTGTTGTCATATCCAAAACGGTAGATGAAATTCATAATTTTTGTCACACTTCGCTATATGAATTTCCACCAAGTCACAACCTGGTTGGAGCCACACGCGGCATTTGCTCTTAGTTGGGTCCTGATGCTACTTTCCGAAAAGGACGTTATGGCCCGATCGCTTTCGCTTGAAGGCAGTTGGCACGATGAGTTGGTACCGGCCCCGAAATGCAAGCAGGGCGCTATATAGTGGGGAAATGGCGAAAGAACGGAGTGAAACGGTCAAAATCCTGGCGAAGAAAAAGCCTTCATTCTCAGTGACTCAAAAATCGATTTCGGACGAGTTTCCCGTAGGCATCTTGCCAACACCGCTACCAAAGATATAGGTAATAATGAACAAAGATAATGTGTGTACCAATATATCGATGGAGCCCTGCTGCCGCTTCATAGCAATCCCTTCTTTTCGTCGCCTTTGAAGGCAGTTGGCACGATAAATCCCCAAGACGACTAGGATCAATACTCCTGGCAGGATAGAATTCCGCGACCCTGGGCAGGCGCTGCATAGCGCCTTTTCCAAGGAAGGTGCCCTTATAAGGGCCCTATCAAGCTACAACATACCGACCCAAACGCCCGCCACGCCCGCCCGCCCACAAATGGACGACCGTTCCTGACGCTCGTATTCATTCATTTGCTAAGCAAATTATGAAGCGAAGGGATTGGTATGAAGCGGCCGTGATGCTGCATGCATGTACACATATGCAGCCGTATCTTCGGTAGCGGTGATTGGCAAGATGCCTACGGGAAACTCGTCCGAAATCGATTTACAAGTCACTGAGAACGGAGGCTTTTTCTTCGCAGGATTTTGACCGTTTCACTCCGTTCTTTCGCCATTTCCCCACTATACAGCGCCCTACTAGCATTTTAGGCTAAGTAGGAAACCATCGTGCCAACTGCTTTTAAGTGGCTTCTATCGGGGAGACAAACATCGTCCAGAGAGGCCTTGGATTTGGACTTACTGTGTTCCTTGATTGAAACCAATTGGTACGGACCAACTCACTACTTATTCCTTACACTTGACTTTCCCAAAAGAACAAATGGCAGAAGTCCTCAATCCTTCAAGAAAGTGTTGAAGTTCTGTGAAATGTCCTCTCATCTGTTGACCGATACACAAGTGAAAAAGCATGTGGATACTGTCTACAACTTCTCTCCCGCTCGCCCCCTACGGACTGGTTGAACAACGGCTGTGACAGGATAAGGAGTAGGAATGAAAGTTTAAAGGTTAATATAACCCATAGGGGCGAAGCTCCGCGAATGTTGTAGAATATTCCCAGATATACCCGGATGCCCGACATTCTTTTATATTGAATGGAAACTTTTAGAAAAAATCGGAAAATACTTTTTTACCAACGTAATATTACGCTAGTGAATCAGCAGCATAGCGAAGCTTCTGAAATCGTCCGGAATGAGGACCTTATTCAGAGCTTCAATCAGGTGACCCCTCTTAACCGCTTCAGTCAGGAGTAGGCATTAATCGTTGATCAGCTGAGATAGATCATCGTTGGCCAACGACTAATGCGATGAAATCACGGCGAACTTAAGGTGAACGTGAAAATCCATTCGCAATGCTTATACAATATCAAAAGGGGTCTTTCACAAACACGGGGACATGGCCGAAGGCCGAAGATCGCGGGAATAAAACGACTAACAGAATATGTATGGAAAGAATCCATCAGAATGATGAAAGAGTTCTGAAGCTTGAAGCGTCAGAAATAACAAAGGATCGAATGTCCTCATGTTCTTAACGACAAATTGTAGTGAGATACTCGAACGAATAGGAGCATGAATCAGCTGCCATGACCCAACATGATCCTTACCTTCCGATTTCTTATCTTTGTTGAAATGGTCATTTTCGTGTACATATGGATCCGCCTAATTTGCGATCGCGCTTAATTAGAAACTTGGCCCTCGTACTCATCCTGAGGAGATGTACACACATTAGGGAGAGGGAGACAATTGAGCCTAAATATTCGCCCGCAAGGCCACCAGTCAAATTGGTGGATAGACATTTTTAAGGGTTTTCTTCTGCGCGGAAGATCCCGAATATTTTGAACCAACGGTGCGGATCTGAAATTTTGAATCAGTCACTATAAGAAACCACACCTAAGAGGAACTTACTGACAATATGTCACAGTTTGGGCTTCTCCTCGACACTAGGGAAACAGCATAGAGTTGGTCATAACGAAATGTCTATTAATTGACATCGAAAAACTGCATCGGTGCTTAGAAACCACGGTTAGAAAACCCTTGTCTCAAGGGTGTTCAGAAGCACAGATAGATTCAAAAAATAGAGGGGTGCAATATTTAACAGGCTGCTTGACTAGAACAGGGTGAGCAGAGCTGTGAGGAAGCCAGAACAGCGTTCGCACAAGGCGAATCTAGGGTAGAAGTGATCGTCTAATTCCAACATAAACGCATTCCTAACATGCGGAAGATACATAGGATGACTACAGGGTCCGCTTTTCTGTAGCTTACAACGACCTTTGCCCTTTTTGTGTACACTGTGTTTTTATGAGACCCGTAGTAGGATGCAAAGTATGAGCCCATTTGTGATAGTTTGAGAACCGCGCGTTAGCGGCTGACCGTGCTAATCGTTGGACTGCTGCAACTGCTAATTCCTCTTTAGTAAGGGCAGAACTCTTTTGGACTGTATTAGAGGTCCAACGATTGTCACCTTTCGCGCCTCTGCAGTCGCGTAGGAACCACAACATACGAAAACGGCGATTCTGCGATGATTGCAGCAAATGGCTTCATTTTGATCAGTCTCGGCTCGGAACTCTTTGTATGTTGAACATCGCTTGTGGTTGCAAGAGTTGGTCGGGCTTTGTTGCTCCCTATCAAAATAACAAAACCATAGATAAGGAAAGCAGCGAAAAAGCGATTAATGTTTTCAGAGAGCCGACATGGCGTTCCGTATCGGTGGCGGGAAAGATCCTGTGGCGCCATATTATGATACTGAACGCATCATAGAAATAGCCATGAAGGTGAAGATAATTTACAACAGTTTTCCTGAAGAGCAGCTCATGATTCCGAGGCAATCTGCAGAACAATGTTGATGCAATCCACCCTGGCCACGGTTTCTTGGCGAAAAGTCCACGGTTTGCTCAGCAAGTTGTTTCCGCTGGAATGAAGTACATCGGACCGACAGCAGGTGTGATCGCACAAATGCGCGACAACTTGCAAGCTCGTCAGTGCGCCATAAAGGCGAAACTGAAGGTGAGTGTCATGTTTAGATGTCACAGACCGCTGCAAAAGCCGATATAGCGGCCGATGACCTCGCGCGTAATGGGAATACCAGGTGCTTTCATTCATTCACTCATGTGCTCTAGGAACAAGCAGCAACCTCGTTCTTTGCGGGAAAGAGGTTTCTATCCTGTCATGCCGACCAAGCTTGTTGTTGGTGAAACCAACTCACTGGGCAAGTTCCGAGATCGTCTACAGCATTTGTTATCTCATAGTCCTTCTTTGCAATTCAACCGATCCCTTCCAGTCCCAATAAGGAGACCTTTCGACAGCGAGGGACCGTATTTCATGTTAAGTGTCCAGTGTGATGGGTAATATTGGGGAGACGCGCAAGATGTTGGAGGACGTGTCAAGGCACGGCTGGACAGAGGCACGACTGCAATTTTGTCGTGGTAGATATCTCGCTGAAAGCATATTTGCAAGTTGAGGCACGCAGCCACGCCTACCAACATCTCAGGGATTTTGAATGTACAGTGGTGATCCATGCAAACGAACGGGGCGTTTGACGCGGCGCGGTTACGAGCCAGCCAAGGTGGCTTTATTCCAGATTTTTATTTCCTGGACTCCGTCGCAGTTGGTGGGGGGAAACTGCTCTGGCTGTGCTCTGAGCCACGCTACCTCCTGCACCCGATCGTTTTCGAGGGTAGCGGAACGCGCCGAGCCGCGCAAACTGGCGATTTTCTTTCTAGCTGACTTGGCGCAAGGCTGCACTGCTCGTTCTGCTGAACTTATTTGGTACAGGTGCAACTGGCCAGATTGTTACGCCTCTTCTGCGGTGGCTTCCGCGGCCAACGATATCCACTCCAATATCTGAGAGAAGGGCAGTCCGCGACTGCATACTCCATTCAAACGTGGCAGTAGCGGAGGGAAAGACAGCTGCAGAACAGTTGCAACCATGATTTTGTCAGTAAGAGACTTGATCGAATGGGATCATCCCGTGTACAACACACCCTATGCCACGAGCGAGTAAAGTACGCAACCCCGGTCACTCCATCGCTAAGATGTAGAGTGTACACCTTTTGGCTCGCGGTCAAAATAATATGCTGCTCACCTGCAGACTACTGTGGTCAAGAAGTCGGGTACATCCTTACAAATTAAGCGACGGATCCGCTTCCCTGATGTCGAAGTAGGTATGGTATAACAGGATAGCCAGCATCCAAGCAGTTTCTATAGAGTAACGAGGCAATCTTGACTCATCGGACCGAAGCAGGCATGGAATGGTACTAATCTGGTCTGGGGGGGGCACGCAGCGGTGAGGAGTAATCGCTCTCACCCGAGTTCCATGAACAGAATAGGGTTAAACATTGCAGGTAATTCCGGGCTCTCCAAGCTCTATAACAAACCCAGAAGAAGCGGTGAAAGTTGCACAGCAGTTCGGAACTCCGATTATTCTAAAACCTGCTCATGGATCAGGCGGACAAACCATACGATACGTACACAATATCCAGCAGGTTAGCAGAGAATTACAGTTTGCGCTGAATTACCGTGCTCATCGCCATTAAGATTGCGGAGGCTTTCGAGTCGATGTCCAACACGGCTAAGAACTTGTTTGGGGACGGTTCGGTTATGGTCGAGAAATACATCGATCAGCCCAGGTCTTCATTTTAATTGGTCAACACAAGACTACGCCAATCGTCTCGCGGCCGTATGCACTGAGCTCTGGAAGTCTTCAGTGCATCTGGCTCCGAAACAGCATGGCTGTCAGTATTTCCGCTATTCAGAAGAAAACATTATTTCTTCAGACACATCGAAATTCAAATTCTTGCTGATCAGTACGGAGACGTCGTCCATTTGTTCGAACGAGACTGCTCGCTTCAGTTGAAACAACAGAAATGTACGCCATCTTTTTTCGAAACGAGATTGTTTGCAAAGCATTGCTTTTTTACAATAAGTGGTCTTCAAAGACACTGGTGTTGGCGTTGCACCAGGTTTTAATCGCCTTCGTCGTTGATCATTTTATGCGACCTGACAGCTAAGAAAGCTAATATCATGCTAGCGCTGTGTGCCGCACGTCCTGCTTTGGATGTGCAGGCAGGGTACAGCATCGCGATGTGAGAAATTTTGGTGCTAGTACGACCCCAGAGATAGTCGAGTGGTTAAGAGTGTGGACTCATGTTCGCACTCTGAGCCAAGAGTTCGATCCCTGCCGAGGCACAAACCATGCCTCGCAAAATTTGCAAAAATGGGGACAATACCAGCGTCAGGCCCAGGTTGACAGGCCGATGATGGAAGAACCCGTCACAACGATCATGACAAATCGCAAAAATATTAGGTGTTAGAGAGCTAGGGACGCTTAGCGGAGTGGCGCGCACAACCCTCGCCCGAGCTCTGTGTCAGTATGCGAAGACAACCGCGGCTAAAAGCTACTTCGAATTGGGACCCTGAACGTGGGATCGCCTACCGTGAAGTTGCCGACCTCATGAAACGCAGAACTATCCATGCCCTATGCCTTCAGGAAACGATGAAGGGGTGCGAACGCCCGCGATGTTGTAGAAGTGTCAAACTCTTTCTACAATGGAGGAGACACCAAATGGAATGGCATGGCTTCGACGGTGGCAGGATCCCTCAAGGGACTGTCTTCTGTGAACAGGATTAGTGATCCGATCATGGGAGCGAGATGGACACGAAGGAGGGGTACTACAGTACTGACCGTGTATGCACCACAATCCGGTTGCTCCGATACGGAAAGACGAGTTCTACTCGACCCTGGCAAGAGGCCATAAGGTTGTTCCGGAGGATGACTATATCACCATAGCTGGGGATCTGAATGGCCAAAAAGAAGCGGAGAATGGAAAGGTGGTGGAAAATGGCGCAAAGTAAAAGAAGGGACAGTAACAGGTTAGAAAAAGAGGATTAGAGCACAATATCTACCATGAAAGAGTATGGAAAATTATGTAACGAAGACAGGTTAGATGCAATAGAAGCGTGTAATCAATACGTCCAGAAGGAGGAATAGGTTAATAGTACACCAAAATTATTTTAGTACTACTATTACCTTCTGGAAGGCAGTTAGTAACACCTTGACTAGTAAGTGGTACTACTGATATCAAATATTATGATAGTAGTTGGTACCAAGAGATTAAGTATTCAAAACATTCCTTCTACTAGCCGTTTCAAGTTGTTGATACTATACATTAAAGAGTATTTATATCCAATGTATTTATTTTTATATAAGCATTTTATTATATTAGCCGCTATGAATTCAAACCATTCCTCGCAAAATTTGCAAAAATGGGGACGATACCAGCGTCAGGCCCAGGTTGACAGGCCGGCTGATGGAGGAACCCGTCACAACAATCATGACAAGTCGCAAAAGTATCAGTGTTAAAGCTAGGACGTCACGGAAGTGGCGCGCAGAACCCTCGCCCGAGTTCTGTGGTCAGTATGCGAAGGCAACCGCGGCCAAAAGCTACTTCGAATTGGGACCCTGAACGTGGGATCGCCTACCGTGAAGCTGCCAACCTGATGAAAGGCAGAACTATAAATGCCCTATACCTTCAGGAAACGCGATGAAGGGGTGCGAACGCCCGGATGTTGGGGGTGTCAAACTCTTCTACAATGGAGGAGACACCAAATGGAATGGCATGGCCTTCGCGGTGGCAGGATCCCTCAAGGGACTGTCTTCTGTGAACAGGATTAGTGATCCGATCATGGGAGCGAAATGGAACGGCACGAAGACACGAAGAAGGGGTTTTGGACCCGACCCTGCAGGAGGCCATAAGGTTATTTCTGGAGGGTGACTAAATCACCATAGCTGGGGATCTGAATGGCCAAAAACAAGCGGAGAATTCTGCGGTGGAAAATGCGCAAAGTAAAAGAAGGATAGCCTCGGCTAAAAGAATACTGGAGGCTGGGCTCCCAGACCCACATGGGCCAGTCCAGGACACCTGGACCTACGCAGCAGAGGTCATCCTACAGTGTGCAAAGGAAGTCCTGGGAGAGACGCGAGGTGGTATCAGAGGAGACAAGGCAGCCTGGTTCTGGAACGAGGAAGTCCAGGGGATCGTCAAGCAGAAGAAGGAAGCATATAAACGCTGGCAAAAGACAAGGAGCCCAGAAGACTTGGCTGCCTACAAGAGCTGCAAGCGACTCGCTAAGGCAGCCTTTGTCAAAGGCAGCGCCCGCGTTCAGATTTGATGAGTATGCGGCTCAGGTAGTAATAGCAAGGTAGAAAGCAACCTATTTTGTGAAAGAAAATGCAAAAGAAAACTGGCCAAAATGCCCATAGGAGTTTCCATACCAATAGCGGTTGTACGTGCTTAAGGCAAATAGAAGGAGTGGTTGCACGAGTGTTGATTGATTGTTGATTCCAGCTGTTTCCTCTTATCACCTCACCCTCACCACTCGACGTGGAGAGAAGCAGCAATGAAACAACCGCACCATCAGGCACGGCATTAAGACATATAGAAGTTGGGCGTCGTGGTCGCCAGGTGGGCGAAGCGGTCGACTCTTTACTAGCGATAGGCGCTATCCTCTCGCCTTTCTGAGATGCAAAACTAGTACATACTGCATCCTGTTGGGGAGGGTTATGATACTCAGAAAGAGCGTAGTAACATCAAGTTAATGTGGGCGCTGCATTTAACGCTAAGAATAGGGAAATGGATGCCTCGACGAGAAGCTGAAGGGCCGAGAAAGGAACATGCGCTTTCCGCCCCGCTAACTCGCCTCGCGCTGCTCAGGGGACACGGTCGTAAAGACTCGTGAGAGGCAGCAACGGGGCACCACACAGGCCGGTCCACCCACTACACCAACACCCACACACCGCTCGCCCCATCGACTGGCCCCCGCGCGCAATGGTGATCAATAAACAGCCCAACCAGACAAGTCCGATAGATTTGGGAAGAGTAGATGTCGAGGGACTTCTAAAGAAGAATTCCTCTAGTGTAGCCCACAGGTAGACGCGACGGGAGGTCTTAACATTCCTTCAACAGAGGATGAGGTCCGCCGAGAACTAGGAACGATGATGCTTGGGAAGGCCGTAGTGGGTCCAAACGGGGTAAGAGGCGAGGGGAGAGTCCGGTTGGGCAGGTGAGTGCATCACACAACTAAACAACGTACGTCTAAGAAAGGATGCGGCAGGCGTGAGGAGCAGACACAATCGTCCCATCTTCAAGCAGAAAGCTGACGCGAAGGATGCCTCCAGCTATCGTCGCATCAAAGTTGACTCCCATATGCTTCCATTGAAGGCTTTTGATCGCGCTTTTTTTCCTGGTTCGACTACATACGCTGAGGGAATTTTTCTACTATCTTTCACCGGGAAACATTGTTCGTTCTTCACATACCTAAAAGGTTTACTCAATGTATTGCCGAACTCGTCTCTTTTTATCGCACAAAGGTGATGGAGGGGTACCTGAGAGAAGCGGACCTGCTAGCCTAAAGCTTCCCGGACCTTGAAATGGTATTCGACCCACTGCCTCAGCCTGGAGCGCTTAGAGAACGTAACGCTCTGGAGCGACTGGTTTCCATAGTGTAGGACATGTACGATGGGGCTAAAGCAGCTGTTCACCCTCACGGCTTGTCAAAAGAGGTAAACATTACGGTTGGGGTACACCAAGGATCAGCCCTCAGCCCGTTCCTCTTCCTCCTGACTCTAGATGTCATGGCAAAAGAACTCATGGAAGGGCCACTGAAAACCATCCTCTACGCTGACTACACCGCCCTGATAGCGGACAGCAGGAAAGAATTCCAGGAAAAGGTGCAGCGGTGGCAGGATGTGCTCGCTGAAGGTTAGACTCCGGCTGAACGTAAAAAAGCCAATTTACTGAGCTTTGAAGAGTGTACCAAGCCATCGTTTCCATCCTACATCGATCTTGCACGATCATGCAGCGCTGCGGTCGCCGCTCCCGACAAATTGCAATGTCACAAACTATATATAGAACTTTGGTGCCACAGACCAGACGAACAGGCGGGGATATAGTCAATGTGAAATGGGAAAAACCGACAAAAGTCAACAACCAGGAAAATTTTTTTCTCAACGTGGCAACTTTCTCTCAAAGGCACATACAAGCCCCCCCCTCTCTTCCAACAACGACCGAATACGACCTCCCTCCCCAGCGGCCAATTGCGACCCCCTATGTGTTTTCAAACAAATGATGCTGTCAGCTGTGCGTGTTACGTCACAACTAAAACATTATGCATGCTGGCCTTATGGACGCGACAACAGCGGAGAGGAACTTTCCCATGGATGTCCATGGCGCGCGAAAGGCCAGAGCGGGATGAAACAGAGGAGGGGCTGCCAAAAGATGAAAAGGTAAAAAAAAACACCGGGGATACCTAGATGGGTGAGCCCTCATCAGGCGCAAAAGTTTGAATGTGTAAGGTCACTTTGGCCACACAATACCATGTAGACGTGCGAGTGCAGAGAAAACAGAGCGCCGGCGCGATTAAAGGAATGGAACTAGAGTTGTTCGTAGACCGTGCATGCATTATTGTGGATTTCTCTAATACTGCTAGATGGGAATTGGCGGCTTTTGAAGCAACGAAATTTCGGAAAAAATGCGGCGAAACAGAGATGGGCTTTCTCGGTTGGAGGGATTACGGCGGTGGATGAGCCACTTATCATGTGTGGAAAGCTGAAGTATATGATGTCACAGTGACCATAGAATGCTACTGTAGTATGCTAAATGGGTAAGAGAGTGCACAGAAAAACAAGAGGTCGAAGGGACCAAATTCATCTGGCCATAGACCTTCTGCATAGCTCGGCCATGTTATGTTCTGCACAATCAAGCAAAGTCACGCTTCTCAGATGAAAGGGTACAATGAAAGGCATGACATGCTTCAACACTGACTAAGCAATGTTAGAGCATTTCACGCTGTCTCAATGACAGGGTGCAGACGAACAAACATGACGCGGTCTAACTCGCTAGATGTTAAAGGCATTGCCCGCGTACAGTTGAGATTTTTCGTGAGCAGGTAGTCTTGTCCGCAGAGGCAGCGATTGCACCACTTTTACCGCGCAAAAACGAATGGAGGGATTCCAAGATGCCGTCTTTACTATCATTGGCCCAACCCACTATCATTAACAGCAATCACTTCCAATTGTTGCCTGATGGTGCGGTTGTTCCCGCTGCTGCTTCTCTTCACGTCGAGTGGTGAGAGTGAGGTGATAAGGGAAAACAGCTGATATCAACAAGTGAGAACTCGTGCAACAGCTCCTTCTCTTCTGCACCAAGCACGTGCAATCGCGATTCGGCACGAGGTTCTTTATAGAGCATTTTCCATGATTTATTTTTGGTTTTTCTTCACTAATGGAATACCTGTTCTTATGATTACTATCTGAGCAGCGTAACCCATCAAATTTGAACGCGGGCTCAGCCTTAAATCTAGGTCAGATCATGTCAATATTGCGTCACGATTGAGCTTCCCTAAATTTGCTTCTTCCAGTCCTGGAAATGGCTCCAGCTCGCAAGCTGGATGAAAAAATCCGGTCTAATCTGTATGCAGATGCTATAGCTTTAGCTCGTCACACAGGATACAGCAATGCGGGTGAGTATAGGATTTATTAATCTTCAAAGGTTGTCCTACCTTTGTGTACATCCTCGTTCGGTACTGTTGAATGCCGTGAAAATCTCCTCTAATAATACAGCTGGTACATTTTTCAGACCATTCTGTTCAGGTACGGTTAAGTTCCTTGTCGACTTTGAAGGACAACATTACTTCATTGGTATGGATGCGTGTCTCCAAGTTGCGCACAGTGTGACAGAAGAAGTGACAGGGTAAAACCTTCATGGGGTGGGTCCCATGAAGCCGATCCACTGAATTGCTTGGAAGTCGTTCCAGACGCGACATAGTGCACGCACAAATTCGCCTAGCTGAAGGAGCTAGTCTGGCAGAACTAGGCCTCACAAAAGACCTTATCAAGCTGAGCGGAGCGGCAATTCAGTGTCGAATCACCAGCGAGGATCCTGCCGACAACTTCCGGCCAACTTTCGGACGTCTCAAGGTACTACTCCATGTAAAGAGTTCATATGTGAAGCAGAGCGGTGGTAATACACTGACAAGAATGGCGTTTTCTGTAGACCCTCTGTGTGCATAAAGACTCTTCGGTGAGGGTTCCACTCTCTGAAGCGTCCTTCAGACGCTTGCTCGAGTTTTTCCATGCGAAAACTGATTATTTTGGGTAGGGCAGCAGAGTGCCTATTACAGAACATCAGTGATCTGAGGGACACGGTAGCGCGTCCCCTAATGCGCAGGGTACGTCTTGCGTTTGGAGACAATATAGAAAGTTTCTGAAAATACGAACCCTTGGAAGGTTTCTTCTCCTTGCGACCCGCCCCTTTCCTTCCTACCCTATTTCCGGAAATTTTTTTTTCAGTAGTCTCTTCACATATCTTCAAAATACTGCCATCGAACGGTAGGCGAGGATATATACGTGTACTGAAAGGGGAAACAGTAAAAAAAGTCGATATCACAAACCGTTTTTCTCGAAAGCAAAAATGGCTTTCCTACCCCCTTCCCCTCGTCCGAGAACGGCCCCACTCTCGCCGAGGTTCCCCTTTGTACGATATGCCCTTCTATCGAGTGGTTCTGGTGAGGGGTGTCATGCGGCGTTTGATGAGGGATTGCAGGTAGGCTTGTTCGACATAGCACGACTATGCTGACCTTCCAACTACCTTTCCCTCCCTCGATATTTGCATTGTGTGGATCACGGTGTCGTAGCGATCCCCCTCCTTCACTCAGACAGATGCTATTGAACCCATCTTTGTAAGATACGTGTCTTCATCTCAACTACGTGTAACATCGACGCCTCGCGGAAGCACAGTAAGCCGTTATTGCGCCACCCTCCAGGGTTTCAGTGTTTCCCATCGACCACAATCGTGTTACTGCATTCTAGTGCATGGACCTTCGCTGCGACAGGACCTACTGGCTGTTAACGTACCGATTTTACGTATCCAAATCGCAGAAGTTGGTTGCTGTCGCAACCATACCATCGCGACAGATGGGAAGTTATACCGTTCGCCAAGCCATGGTTGCGTCGGCTATTTCAACTGAATTTCATGTTTCGGCACGGTTCTCATTTCCAGCAGAAGAGGGGAACTTCAGCGACTCGATGCATTTTGCACTTTTACTACTTCCCGTCGACTGTCGACCCATCTAGACAGCCTCTTCTCGAGTTGACAGGTTTTACCATGATGGCTTGACGAGCTTGCTCCAGCTTCACAAGAGTTCACAGGTTTCACCAGAGTGAGACTTGTAAACCGGAACAGGAGAAGTGAACGTGCAAAATGCCCCCTCTCGTGCCAAACTGCATCGCTTTAAGCTCTTCTACTATCCTTAGGCTGTGAATGTTTCCCATAGGTGTAGGGGGTGTTACCACAAACTTCAAACCCTTTCTACATTATCGCAACACCAGTTGTTCGCAATTTCAATGACGGTCGCCTCCTGCTGACAAAGCTTACATGCTTAAGTTAGCTGTCTGTATAACTCTTTTTTTTGAGACCAAGCAGATCTAAGGCTGCGTTTATACTTTGCGGCAGCGTAGCGTAGCGCTTCCAGCGTACGCCAGCGGCAGTGCCGAAGAGAGGATGCATATCGATCTAGCTTCACCAGCGTCACCAGCGGCACGCTGGCGTACGCTAGCGGCACGCTAGCGTACGCCAGCGTTTCTCCAGCGTTTCACCAGCGTTTTGCTAGCGTTTGCAGCGGCAGGGGAGTAGAGACTATGGGAGAGCTGGAGGGTACAAAACACGTCTCTCACTCGCCCTTAGTCTCTACAATGCACATCGCTTCTGCGTCTCCGACGGCCACATAGTCTCTACAATGCACATCGCTTCTGCGTCTCCGACGGCCACATAGTCTCTACAATGCACATCGCTTCTGCGTCTCCGACGGCCACATAGTCTCTACAATGCACATCGCTTCTGCGTCTCCGACGGCCACATGGTCTCTACAATACACGTCGATTCCGCGTCTCTCACGGCCACATAGTCTCTACTCCCTGCCGCTGCAAGCGCTAGCAAAACGCTGGTGCCGCTGGAGAAACGCTGGTGAAGCTAGATCGATAGCTATGCTTCCCGTGCCCTCGCTACGCCAGCGTGCGCTAGCGTGCCGCTGGCGTACGCTAGCGTGCCGCTAGCGCACGCTAGCGTACGCCAGCGTGCCGCTGGTGACGCTGGTGAAGCTAGATCGATATGCATCCTCTCTTCGGCACTGCCGCTGGCGTACGCTGGAAGCGCTACGCTACGCTGCCGCAAAGTATAAACGCAGCCTAAGGTGTGTATGGTGTGGATCCCGGCCCGCGCCCTGCCCAATTCAACCAAGCTTTCTATCCTCCGGGGACACCGAAATGGTTCCAGATTCGTCTGGAGAGGATAAGACCATTGACTTGTACATCAGCTGGCCTCGTACGTGATTGTATAGGGCAATTCGCAATCAGTAAGCTACTACGATCCTGAATGGAAGCAATTCGTGCCACATCCTACAACGGCGGAAACTTTACCTTTTATCCTTTGGGCCACATTTCTTTGAGTGGCGACAGCTACACGACATCACGAGAACTCACTAATCTCAAAGAATTGAAGCTGAGGCTACGCGCAGCAAATACAATGATAAAGCAGAAAGTTTGATGTTGCGAAACGTTGGCAGCAGTCAGAGCGAAAGGCTGACTTACACGCAGAAAATAGGGCGATAGAGTGAGTAAATATTTCAGGTGTATCGTATCGGTGACGGGATGGGGATTCGTAAAGATGGTTTGGCATATGACGGGGGGACTGTGAGCAAGCATTATGAGCCTTTACTGAGCAAGGTAAGTCGAGAATCTGATTCTATTTTAAACCTGTAGCCAAATACATATATTCGTTATCCTGCAGATGAGAGGGGAATGTGAATGTGTAGAACGCGCTAAAATGGTTTTCTCATTGCAAATGGCCAGGCTCACCTGCTGACCAGGTAAAGGTCAAGTCAGCCTGGCCATTATGCAATGAGGTGCACATCATTGTACTCGCCTTGAGACGTGAACTCAAAACTATCTTCAAAATTTGCGGAACGATTCTCTGAGCGGAGTTATGGAGGTTTTCTTTACTGTTTTTCTTCTTCCGGGCGCGCTGGCGCCGTCAGCACCCGTAGCGCGACTCACAGCGCTATGCGCAGAGCAGATAGCATAATCGTGTTCAGGGGGCCCGACTAACCCCTGAAGACGGCATCTTAGCGAAACCTGTGATTCTGACTCAGCTTCGAAAAAATGGGGTTAGGTTAGTCATGGCTGACTGGTAGCCAACAGCGATACTACGACTAGCCTACTGGTGATGACTGGTCTTCGAACTGAAATAACTCTTAGAAATGTCTTTTCCGCGGACGCAAAGCCTGGCTCACTTGTTACAGCCTTCTGCATCATTTCCCTGAATACCGGGAGGAAATTCCATCTCGAGACCAGTCATCGATGGATAGGTGAGCTCCACTCTGCTGCTAATTACCATAGAATAGCCCATGTTTTCCAAGTTAGGTCGAAATATCAGATTTGGCTAGAAACTTTTCCCCAGAGGTAATTTGACCCGCTGAACATGAATATCATGGTATTTCATTGCAAAAACCCTTGTGACATGTGTTACGAGGAGGACAAGCGCAAGCACTCTTTCAAGCCACCTTAGGTCTACACTTTCAAAAAACACTGATCGTAGGTTTCCTTACAGGAGTAGTGCAGGCGAGCAGAGATGTTGAGAAGTTCGTCGGCCATGTTCTTGGGAAAATGCAGAAAGAGGCGACTTGCCAGGAACCGATCCCACAACATCTCGCCTAGACAACCCGCTCACTATCCATTGCACTCTACTATCATGTTTCACATTTACTCTATACATTTATAGAGCTTCCACATTTCCTCGCGATAGCATGTAAACCGACACGCGGGGACAAATCCCTCCATAACTCCGCTCAGAGAATCGTTCCGCAAATTCTGAAGACAGATTTGAGTTCACCGTCTCAAGACGCGTACAACGGTGTGCACCTCATTGGAAATGGCCGGGCTGACCTGTTGACTTTTCCTGGTGAGCCAAAAGGAATTTGTGAAAATCTGCCCTGGCTACATTCTGATTCACCCCCCCCCCCCTCCACCCTCCCCCACTCTTCACATGCAATCCCTTTTGCACGGATAATAACTGTATGTATGCGTGTTTATGGCTAGTACGACATTGTACACCTTTAGGTCATTTCTCATGCTGCCAATCATAAGTTAGCCGCTCAGCGAATGCTACGTTGTCTCCGAGAGTCAAAAGTTCGAGGACTTGAGGTAACTGGATTAAAAATATGAAAAAATAAGGGATTGCCTTCGATACTGCAAATAGTCTCATGGAGAGCGTGCAACTAATGCACTTGGCATCCTTCTCTATATATGTAATCCGCTGAGTACATATTTCAGTGAAATTTATGTGGAAGAGGGGGTTCACAGTGCACTTGAAACAGGAAAAACTGAGAGCAGTCGAGGACTGTGGTGTCGTTCCCTGTTGAACGCCCCAAATGAGCCATTATCAGTCGCAACATCTCTTTTGATTCCCCGTCAACGTCTACACCACCTTCTAAGTAGTTCGTTACGGAGGCGAGGACGTGTTAAGGGTGGGAAGTGAAGTAACTGAGTTTGGCGCGGAGCCCAAATCCCCATTACTTATCACGCCATCATCCTGAGCAAACAAAACTGCATGTTACAAAATTCATAGTGCGTGTCACAGAGTCAATTTGCCCATGCTTCGAGAAAGTGGTGTAGGAAACGGGTAGAAGGTGACAGAGGATCACAAGAAATGGTTGCGACTGATAATGGCTCATAAGGTGCGTTCAACAAGGAGTGAAGCTGAAGTTTTTAAATTTATTTAATTTTTTTTCAAAGGCGCTATGGACCCCCTCACAATTCTTTTTGCAGGAAAATTTTTCTGAGTGAAGATTTTATATCTTTGGGAATACCCCTTAAAGCTAAGGAAATCTAGGAAACTTCAAAAGATAGATTTCAAGATTTTTCTTGAATTTTGCAGACGAACTTGAATTTCCTCAAGAAGCTCATGACGAACCCGACTTTCATTGATGGAGCTGTCACCACTTCGTTTATTGAAGACAATCTGTCTCGACTGCTCGACATTTCTGCACCAAAAAGCAGTGGCTTGAAGTTGCTCCGATACATGGCTGAAGTGAAGGTGATGGCTACTTCAGCGCTGCGGCAGGATGGCAAAACAAAAGTTGCAAGTGTATCACGTGCACGGTATTAGCTCCAGGACTACGGGGGGGGGGACGAAAAAGACACTTTTCTTCCTCGACTTTCAACCACAAGTTACATTTTATTGGATTCTGATTGGGCATTTTCACCACCAGATTGTACACTACCACGATACTCCGCCACAGCCTTATGGGCGAGTGCCATCGAGAGATTCTGCGACCCCCTGCTCCGGTCCTGAGTTCAGCAAAGTCATTGATTGTTCCGCACTGTACATTACCCCTGTTGAGCTGAGCCCAAACCCGGTAATCGAAATGGTTCAAGTCAGATGACACACTTGGATATGCTTCTTCTCTCTTCTTCAGTACTCAACGCCTCTCGATTAAAAGAGAGTTCTTTGATTCCATGTGCTGGCGCCCAACCCTGTAGCAGTACAAAGTTTCCAAGATGGTACAGGCGACGACATGAAGACAGAGGGTTCTCCTCGAATTGCCCGATGTAACATTAAGGGTTCGCTTTCATTCCGAGATCTACGAAGAGAAGGTCGATCTTTCTATTGCAGGAGCGGTCCATACCATCAACTCGCGCCTTGGCGACTGCGGTGAAGATGATGTCCTAGACCGTAGCGACGTTGTCGGAGCTGCTCGTTGGAGGTCTTCCAGATTGAGAGTGCTGGTCTCCAGGTAGCTGTCCATGGGTGACTCCATACAAGAAGTTTCGCAGCTGTTTGGAGGTGAATTCCATAGGACCTTCTCCAGTCAGGCTGCGATTGGAGATGGCTTCATATTTTGGTGTACATGAAGGTGATGGACGAGAGCCTGCTCCTGCTTATCGAGGAACATCTTGGGTATCTTCCGCCCTGGTACTCGTATCCACGTCTTCTGTCTGGCTAAACTTTGCTGATATGTGACTCGGCCGAAGTGTCTTTTTTTGCCCCCCCCCTGTATTCACCGTAGCCTTGCGACATTGTTTCAAGTCAACTCACCAGGAAATACTCTGCTAGTTCGGGCGCGTCGCCGCGACGGCGAGTAACGATACAAACTCGAAAACTAAGCAGCATTCAAACTTCGCTATAACGGCACGCATCGACGTGCTACAACTGCAGCAGTGCTTTAGTCCCGTGGACGCAGACGCAGCCGCAGACGGGAAGCGATCGGCGCCGGCCGCTTGTGTTTTAGAAGAGGGTTTAGGATAACAAGCGGGCAGGAGCTGCGATCACATAACCTGGTACTCTCCCATTCTTCTGTACTCCCCAAAGCTCTAACGGACAGTGCCGATCGATTCCAGACTGCGTGATTAGGCAACACACGTCCTCCTGCCCCCCGGTCTACGAACAACTTGAACTCAATCCCTTCCGAAGTGTCAATCATCTGTTTTCCTCTGCACTCTCTCGTCCGTGTTGCGTTTTGTGGTCATCGTGACCTCACACATTCCAGCTTTCACAGATGGTAAGTGACTCACCCATCCGGAGAACCCCCTCCGTCAAAGAGGCTCAAAACCAGGATCGGTACATGCACACTCATTCCAATGTTCTGGCAGCCGCTATTCTCTGTTCGTATATGTTACATGGTTTCGTAGTCGGAGCACTACCAGAAGTTCAAGATGTCACGTCCCCCCCCCCTTGCTCTTCCAATAAGCGAATTTGACGCCGATTGATACTTGTCTGCGTTCGCGGCTGCAGCTATGGAGCACCCTTGCAATTGTGTTGCCTTGTGGGACGTCGTCCCGCGTCTTCCACGATTTGTCACTGACACTTTTAGGATCAGTCCTCGGGAAACAAGATATCTCTAATTCTTTTCCACAGGTCAATGGAGCGTTTTCTCCACTTGGTGTGCCTGACGCGAAAGTATGGCGGGCTACGCCTCAAGTGCCAAAGCTGGCTGGCGGTATGGAAGTTGTCATACTAACATTAGCAGAGTGTTTTCTAGAAGTTCCCTCAGAATTTAGGGCCTACACCTGACGGTTTCAAAAGCATCCTTGATAAAGAAGGACCAGATGGATTTGCTAAAGCTCTACGCAAGCACCAAGGAGTGCTTATAACTGACACTATTCAGGTGGGTGTGTAACTTTAGCTAAGTCGGTAATTAGGCTGGCACATCTCGCACCTAGTGTGCCTTGCCAGTGGGGAGCCCTCTCATAATGACTGACCTCTTGTTATAACGCTCATCTCAAAGCATAACAAGGGACTGAATCAATATTTATTGATGCCAATTTATTAGGCTAATATTAATAATAATTTTGCACAAGATTTACAATTACAGTATGAAAAAGCAGCACATTTCAGTACAAAAAGAAACACATACGAATTACAAGAACAAAACTATGAAGGTTGTGTCTGTAAAAACACTACCTGGCCCTTCTGGCCAGTAATAGTCTATCTGATCGTCAGTTACTCCACCCGATAAAGTTCATCGAACCTGAATTAAGGGCGGCTCATTTGTGTCTTCATTTATTTAAGTATGCACCACTTGCATCCAAGACGAATCGAGGAAGCCCACCTTTCCATTTCTTCCGCTATCTTGGCCCTTCTTTCCTGATCTTTTTTCTCCAGCACCCTTGCATCATTAGGATACTGTGCCGGAAAAAGTTGCAACTTATGGAATACCATTATAGAAAAAAAGAAGATGCAGTCGCTTCCAGGCGTTTAAGAGCTGCCCGCGTTTCGTAATTGAGTTTATGCAGGGCTTCAATAAGTGCGCTCAGAGGCGGGTGTTCAACACCTATAAGGAACCCTAGGCGCCTGAAATTGTCTAATTATGTACTTTAACGGCTGTAATCATGACTTATAACCTATGAAACGCTTCTGCCAGATTTTGTAGTCCTCAGTTCCACTACTTTCCATTTGCACCACAAATCTTTGAAGGTGCCTTGAAGCCAAGTCGCTTCAAAATACCTCAAGAAGCTTTCATATACTCCATAGGCGGCATGGCCTGTTGGTACGGGAGGAGCTTGCAAGGCTTTCACTCGTGGGATCAGAGCACGAGGAAGGAACACTACACCTACAACAGGGGGATATATTGCCTCGATCTCCCTGAAGATTCCAATACGTTTATAAATTTCACTTACGCTATTATGGGAGATTGCGCACCTTCTATGGAGAGTATTGACATGATAGGTACTGTACATAGACGCACTAGGTCCTGCTGAGAAGGTATGGCTGAGGAGATCCGAATAGAGAAAGTCGCCGTAATAGCCTGAAATCATGCTGAGACACAAACACGGAAAGGTGCTGTTCAATGCAATTCTTCTGCTTAAATACTTGTTGACACGATTGACCTTCGAGAGAGGGTCTCATACAAGGGAATCAAAAAGCAAGGTGTCTGCATGATGTGCGAAATGATGTCATCTGCTGTTAACTAGTTTGCCTGTAGCTCAGTTCGTAAGTACTTCTGTCATCCATATAGCGTAGAAGGTAAGTTCTTCACATTTTGCAGACCCATTTTCCATTTAAGCGTGTGTTTCTGAACCTATAAGTGACTTCAGTTCTCCTAACTCTCTTGGCTCTTGGATTTCCCCTTTCTTCTATTAATCAATAATATTCACTGAGCTGGAAATGCTGGTGAGAGGTCACCAGCCAGCGCAGCCAATTAGGCAAGGTCACCCCACAGGCGATCTCACCGGTGTCCCCACAGGCGAGGGCGGAAAGGTGCTAAGTGAGGTCAACTTAGCTAAATTGACATTCCCCGTTCAGGTAGGCAAGTCTGTCTCGGTGTCGATGAGTCATAACTTATGTGTTGGCTTAACAAAAAATTGTTCTAAAGTAACGCATCAAAGCACAATCTTTCCATCAGATGCAGACACTTTGAGATAAGCCACGTCATGAGCTTCGAGCCTCAGAACGGCCCAGCTGGCAGAACTAAACGGGCTCTTGTAGTCGGAAGGGTCTGATACCAGTTCAGCGGTCCAGCACAGGTTCAACGGTTCTGATGATGAGCGGTTTGAAATTGAGTGAATACTTTTGAGGCCCACGAAGTGAAGATCTTCCACCCGCGTCACTTAATCTCGCTAGATGTTGTCGTCTGAAAATATGCATTCATGGCCAGGGTCACGGAAAGGTCGCGGCAACGCTGCGGCGGCTGCTATCAATGGAGCTCTTCTGGGGCATACATACACATACGCATACAAGCTGCTGTTTAGCTCATAACCAAATTGAAGGAAGCCCCACCCTCCTCCGTCATGATATAGACCGCGCACATGGCTTCTTCTTTCAAAACTTTTCAAGACTCTTTTTGATTCAGTATTTTAGGGATGCCAATCAATCGTTATTGGCGACTCGAGTGCGTACTAAGGACATGCTCCGGATAGCTCCCTTCATATCGCAAAATTTAAGTGGACTCAGATCCTTGGAGAACTGGGGAGGTTGCGTTTTGAGAGTATCTGGTGGATCACTGCATTTTATTGAAGTTACATCAGTTTCCAGGAGCAACGTTTCACGTGTGTATGAACTTCCTGTACGAGTGCCCTTGGGAACGGCTTGAACTTCTGCGGAAAGCGATCCCAAACGTGCCATTCCAGTGCATTTTCCGAGGCTCAAACATCTTCGGATACAGCAGTTTTCCAGACAATGTTATCAACGAGTTAGTTAGCTGCTAAGACTGTTTGGAAATGTCGCTTTTGCTCAATAACTTAGCATAACAGTTGACGACAATATGAGCCACCGGCTTAAAATTTCTCCACCACCTTTCGGGTTATTGCCAGCAGTCTCAATCGATCTTTTTCTTGCTCGAATAACCTGTGAAAGGTTGAATGTCCAACAGGGATGAGCAAGAAAATGTTGCTGCCATGAGATATTTTGAATTAAAAATTGAAATTTTTCAACTAGCTACTGCTGCGGCAGAAACCTCCAAAATAGTTCTTTTGGACGAACCTTGGCTGCAGGGACTGCGCGGGGCTTTGATCATGAACGTGAGATCTTATTTGTCGTTGGCGCCATATGGCGCCAGATCTTATTTGTCGTTGGCGCCATATGGCGCCAGTAGGCGCCATTTCGGCGCTAGCAGTCCTTCTGGCACCGAATTCGATAGAAACCTCTATACCTAGGTTATTTGACATCCTTGTCACGAATATATCGTTGCCTTTCAGTGTTGGCGCCACCTGGCGCCAGCAATCTTCTTGGCACCGAATTGGGTACAAACTTGAACACCTGGGTTATTCGTCTAGGAATCGTTGTAATGTGTGAAAAGGAAAAAAAAAAACCTCAGAAACAGAAGTTATGGCACACATTTTGGAAATCACGATCGCGCTAAAAAGTGGGCGTGATCGCAGAGGGCGGGGCATGAGATGGCATCCAATAGGGTCAAGGATGGTTGAAATAGCAGTCCCTGCACGATTGACTAATCATTTTGCGAAATTTGACATAGCGGCAAAAAAGTGGTCCACGAGGGACAATATGAGCCACCGGTGGCTCAAGCGGACGCATGCGAAAACACGCCATTGTCCCACGCGGCGCTTTCCCGCAAAACGCGATTGTCGTCAACGTGTTCAGAAAGCGCTACGGCAACGACACTGAATATACACCCAAAAGAGCTGTTGTATATAGCTAGCATAACTGTTGTTGTAGCTAACCATAAGCGATTCTTAATGAATGATCCTGTTTCAATCGCTACGAATGTGGAGGTGGTATTTAGCTTGCTAATTGTGAGAGAAATCCCCGAGGAACCGAAGAGCCCAAGATTGCCGCTTGTGACCAGTGAGTTTTACATATGACTGTCAAGGAGAGCCAACACTGGGAAAAAACAAGAAAACCACCGAAAACGCAATAAATGAGACCTCTGCTGGTTCTCATAGTCGATCCGATTGATCGGAATTGTGAATGCGCTCTGATGGTAAGCTCTTTTGAGCAGCAAAAATTGTGCATACGCTGCGGTCGGGGACTGCTCCACCTTGCACAAGGAACGTCAATGTGAATGAGTGCAGGAGTTACGGAGGGAATAAAGATTCTGACCCTTCCCACAAGGCCGCTCTCGTCGACGCTTTATCTTGAGGAAGTTGTAATGAAGCTTAAGAGGGAGTTTGGACCTTTGGAGGGGGGGAACGAGAGTTGGAAGGGTGTTGCGGTAGCAGTGAAGCAGGGCACATTATGTTGATCTGGATAGCGCAATATCTCCAGATCACCATGACATGTGGGCCCCGCTTACAGTTCCTGCGAAAAGCATGTATGAAAAAGTGGACTCCACCTAATAAGGACGTCGTTCAGATTCTGTAAACTGGCCGTTAAATCAGGAATGGATATTTTCCGCATTATGGACTGCTTTAATTATTTACCAAATCTCATATACGGTGATAGCAAAGCAAGTTAGGAAAGGTTAGGTCTCTCGAGACGTCTCTTTTTTCAAAGAGTATTTGCTACCTGGAAGATTGTCCCCTGCTGTATAGGCGGGATGGGCAGAGTTTATCTCTATAAAAGGGTAATACTTTACTACATGGAGGTACTGAAACAGCGTGTTGAGCTGGCTGTTGTAATTACGTCTACGTGTGTGGCATAGCACATAAAGAAAACTGAGTTCTCAAGTGAAAGGCACATTTGGCGAGTGAACTGACGAATGAAGAAGGCCAATTACTTATCGGATTTACGGAGTTCCTATCAGCAAAAAACGCGTCTTTTTCGTGGTCCTGGAAGGCTGCGAGGGAAAGGAAGGCAAGCTCATGCCTGCTTTGTCTGTTGGGTCACCATAGGCCAGGTCCGATGTCACCCATGCACAGGTGCTTCTTAATATTTGTAATCACGAAATGTTCCTTTGGCAACGCTGAGTCTTCATCCAAAGAAAATGTTGAGAGATCAAGTAACTGTCAAAGTCTGCCCGCTAGGAAAGAATACTCTATTTAATAGGGCTGGCGGGGTCGGCCGAGGCCTGTCTATCGCCTATACTGGTGACATCACTGATCAAAACAGGGAGCGCTATAATCTTAAGTACTATATGGGTTTGGTCGATGAACTAGTAAAAGCTGGAACTCACATATTAGGCAAGTTGCTGATTCGAAGAATTGTTAAACATTCCCGCTCAACATTTTTCTGTGTTTTTCGTAAGCGCGTACATAGTGAAAGACACTTTCCTCAAAAGAGAGTTTAGGGCTGTAGTACTAGAGAATCCTCATTGTCCAGTACCCTTCCCATTTCTCGGAGGCGTTCGCTCAATGAACCACGATCGTGCTTACAGCTGGAATAAAAGGGTATAATCCATTTGCGCTTTTTTTGACTACGGAAAAACACCCTGAACCAGGCAATGCAGCTTCTCAATTTAGGCAAATTTAGCGGGCAAAATTTGGTGAACTCTTTCAGCCTGCAAGGTTAAGAAACCGCCTTGACTTGAATAACGACTCCCCGCAGTTATATTCTTTTGCATCAGCCCTCAGAAAAGTGTTGAATTTCAAGGAAATGCCGAACTGATCATTAGTACTTATTTTTGCCAGGAGTGAGTGTTCTATTTTGACTTTTCAGCGATCAAGGACATGGCTGGAGTTCTACACCCGTCAGCCGCTCGCCTTTTAGTCCGAAGTATAAGGGACAAGTTAGCTTTATTTCTCATCGCTGCATTTTGCTTACATTATGTCGCATCCATTAGCGGAATAATTTAATCATTTTCAGATATCCAGATCTTCCGATACAAGTTCACACTCATGATACATCTGGAACCGGTGTCGCTTCTGCGATCGCAGCTATAGAGGTAAGCATAGGCTTGAGCCTTTTCAGCAATCTAGCTCCTGAGATAGAGAGAGATTGAAATATAACTACTGGATGTGCGTGGAATCGATGCTCGTACGAAAATGTTGTTTCGATAAACCATACATATGATTTGAAGGAGGGAGCTGATGGTGTTGACGCTGCGATCGACAGCATGAGCGGCGTAACCAGCCAACCGAGTCTCGGAGCCCTTGTGAGAATTTACAAAAATACTCCAAAAGTCACAGGTGAATTTTCATCCTTTTTTCACAATTCCACCTTTTTCGCCGTTCTTTCAATGTCAGGAGGGGTTTCAGAGGTTTCTATATCAGAAGGGGACCCTAATAAGAACGGGTTTCAGAGGTTTCTATATCAGAAGGGGACCCTTATAAGAACAGGGATATACTAGTGACATATATAAGCATCAAAAGGCAGTCGATGACTCGTGGGAACCAAGGAAAATTAACCATAGAATAATAAAAGAGTTCTGACCCGTGAAAAAGAACACCATTCGCACTAAAAGCTCACAGATCGCGATAGAAAGAGGTTCTCATTAGCTGTAAGGACTTCCCACCTGACCTTTTAGAAGGCACCTTTGAATAGTGGAAAAGTACCGCTTCTGTGGCTGTGAGCAGCTGATCAAATTGTTATTGATTACTTACCGGTGCGTCCACTTGGGGGCCTTATGGTGGTGGTGGGACTACGGATCGATATTAAGCCCAGCTGAAAGATCGCTCTTCAGTGGAAAAGAAGCACTGTAAAGCTTCGCGCTGCAGGTCGCGCTAGGCGTCAGCGCATACGCGTCGCAGCATAACAGCTAGCGCTACAAGCGTCGCGCTACAAGTTGTAGACACAGCATCCAGCTTTTAATATGTTTTTAGTTATCTATTCTATATCATCCTCTTCTCCTGTTTCCATATTTTATTCTGCTCTGAGCTCTGTTTTCCTACTTATCAACATTTTGATTGATTAGTATTTTGATCGGAAGACTGGAGTAAATTGGTTTTATTTATCATATTTTTGAGACTCTTTAATTATATTGTTTTTCAGGCAGTTGCTTGATGGTTTGGAGGCGGTTGGGTTGATGTGTTGCCTAGTAACTGGCCGCGCGGCGAGAGGAGCGGCGGGGTGGGAGGAAATAAGGAACTAAGTGGTTGACCCGACCTGATTCGTTATTGCATCCCGTGCGAAACACATTAAAATTGATGAAAGTAAGAAAACAGGAAGTCCTACCTAATACTATGAGAACAAAGGAAGAGATTGAAATAAGAAAAGAATGAGTACATAACATGCACTTAATAAGGACAGAAGGGACCTATTCGCCTAAAAAGCAGTAACAGAAAAGCTTATTGCTAATGAGAGTAACTGTAAGGAATGGTCCAGAATATATCTAGGTTGGCTAATAAGTAATGGCGGTTTTTTTTTCAATTGAAAAATTTGTTCCAAAAGTGAAAAGTTTTGCAAGCAAGCTTAATATCGTTTAATAGCAAATTTCTCGTAGTATTAGAATATCAAATTCATATTCAGTTAATTCAACTATTAGCATGAAATTTCTAAATAGAGGCAGTTGTCGAAGGTGCTAATTTTCGGCGACTTCATCCAACTTCAACGACTGAAAAATCCACAAAAACTATATCCTCAACCAAAGCTTTTTTGATATTCTTATACTAAGAGAAGTTTGCTATTAAACGATATTAAGCTTGCTTGCAAACCAGTTCACTTTTGGAACAAATTTTTCAGTTGAAAAAACGGCCATTACTTATTAGCCAACCTAATAGTTACAGCTGTATCAAGTATCACTTTCCGTGAATTCTCAGAAACTCCAAGCCAACCTTCCACTTCCTCTATAAGCACTCTTCATCTAACGTTGGAATTGGCAGTAGTATGCGAGCGGTGCTGTGCGCTGACGCGTGTGGCTGACGCTGTCAGCGGCGATCGGCTGTAACGCGACGCGTAGCGCGAACGCTGGTAGGCGGAACGCTGTAGCGCGACGCTGTAGCGCGAGCGGGCGAGTAGGCGAGGCTGGGTAGGCGGAGGGGGCAGTGGAAGCGCGACGGCTGTAGGGAAGGCTGTTAGGCGGAGCTGGCTGTAGACGCAGGACGCGGAGTTGGAGCCGTGAGACTCTGGTAGCGGGACGCAGTAGGCGAGCGGCGTGGAGCGCGCGTAGCGGCGAAGCTGGTAGGTTAACAGGAGTGGTGAACGGTGGCTTGTGGTGGGTGGTGGGGAACTGCGGATGCGGGATAATAAGGCCGCGATGAGAAAAGATGCGAAGACAGTCTTCAGTGGAAGAGGAACAACTGGTAAAGCATTAGCGTAGTAGAGGACGGAAGATCTTGTGGTGTGCTGAGGGTCGTGTTGTATCCGTTATGGATGTGCGTAGACTTGGTCGAATGTCGTAGGCTAGCCAGCAAGAGCGGTAGTTGGTGGGTCCAGAGTCGGATGGCCATTCAGGCCTCGATCCAGATTTCCGATTCTCAATAAAGTCATATTGGAGAGGAAACGGATCGGCTTGTCTCAAAATTAACGAGTAGCACTGATCTGCTGAAAAAGGGATCATCAGACGTCTTCGTTCATTCACATTCCACAGGCGGACAAGAGCAGCAACTTGAATTTTCAGGTGATCCAACTAAACCTTCTGTTAAGTGCAACTTTTGAGTAGGGTTGAAGAACAACACTCTTTGTGTTATCAATCTGCACGAGCCACGGTTCGCGTGCGTGGTGAAGTCTTATATGGCAACGCTATACTATTTCTGATATCTTAAAAGTAATATATGTGCAGGGAAACGTGGTCTTTATGGTTAGAGAGGCATCTTACTCGTTTAGATCTAACCCAACGATTATAATTTCCGTGCTAAGCAGTCTTCAGATTAGAGCAATCCATCCCATACCCCGCCTAAAAGAGCACTATCTTTACAGTGACTATGACTATGGTAAATGGCTATCGCCTCATGAATTACATTGTCAAAGGAGAATATGATCAATCATACGGATGTTGAAGCGAGGGGTCGAGCGGTGGCAGGCAAGGCACAAAAGCGCATCTCGTCGGAGGATTTTAGGTCGAGCCTGTAACGACCCAACCCCTTTTTGGGCGCCCCTATACATAAACTTATGAAGTCCCCACCACCCCGAGGAGAAAGACATTCCATAAGTTTAATGTATAAGTAAAGCAGCGAAACAAGGGAAAAAAGCAACACTGAACGAGGTCCCCCTACTTTTCTTGCTCAATTTATATCCTGATTCAGAAAAAAGAAGATAGAAAGAAAGGACATATATGGTTTCACTACATTCCTTCGAGTCAAACAACTTCGTAACGCTGAATCAGTATAGCGATGTAAGAAAAAAAACAGAATTAAGACACTCTAATAAAAGCACCCTGAGCGTTCCAAGCAAATTGCTGGGCGCGTAATTCTCTCGCTCTGACGCGTAATTACGGTATGAAGAAGGTGAAATAAATATTCGGTATTCGAGTAAACCGAAGAAGAAGATAAATATACGTATATTAACAATAACAGAAGAAGTAAACCACAGAAAGAGTAAATACAGAAACTAGAGAAAGCAAGACCAGCACAACCAGCTTGATTAAAGGGGCGTAGGATACAGCGAAGACATACTGGGAAGGACCAGATGTAGAAAACAGCGAGTATATCACAAAGTGGGAGTGTCTTTTGAAGGGACATATTCCATTAAGCGGACCGTGTGGAGGAAATAAGAGGAGACCGTATTCGTGTAGAGGAAGGTTTGCACTTCCTAAAAGTACTGAAACGTTTATGAAGGTCGCAAAAATCACAGAGAAATCTGCCATGGGGATTCGTTGGGGAGTGATTTCAACTGAACAGGTTTGAATCAATATATTTTTTTTGTAACTCAAACAATCTGAGAACGGTTTCGAGTGTTTGAAGATTTTCTCTTTCTAAAAACCTCTTGAACTGTTTCTGAAGTTCTCGGGATTCATGAGATCTCGCGATGGGGATTTCTTGGGGAACACTCCCAGCTGCGCGAAAAACCCGTTTCCTGTGTACCGTTTCAAGTGAGCGTGTTCGAATAACCAGGAACGCATGAAAAACGTATCCTGTGGTGGAGCAGGAGCAGAATATGGTTCGTTTAGCGCCGATCACGCTGACTTTGGATGCGCCGCGCACTGAGGTCCGCGCAGAGGTGATGGGATGGTGCAACTTGTGCGTAATGTCTGTCCACGCGAGCAAATGTGTCTATAGGGTTCAGGGAGGTCCATGGCGAGCCTGTGCACTTGTTTACAGTGTTTTCCGTTGCGTATGATGGAACATGTCCCTGTCGACGCTGCCAGATTCGTGCTCCGCCAATTGCTGACTCCGATAAAGGAGACCAACTGCTGGAAAACGTCTATACGAACGATATGGTAGTCCTGTCGCTTGTCGAGAAAAAACAGGTTGGCTCAGCGCCAAGCGCGACCGCGGACACGCCATATCATTGGCAGCGAACCAGAGTTTGAGTTGTACTGTTTAGTCACCAACGGACTTACGAGATAATGTCGACTTATTAATATTTGCAGTTATTTCGGATTAGTTTGATGAATGAAAGTTTTGTACTATTTTTTTGCATATCCGAGTTCTCTACAAAGCAAGTTTCGCTGTACAGGACTCAGCACATTGACAATTTGCGCTGCTCGTTACTGGCTGCCGCACTCACTACGACCCCCCCCCTCTCCTGGCGGCCAAATACGACCCCCTGTTGGGGATTCCCCAACCAACGATGTGCCCTGGGTCCAGGTGGTCGTTCCACAGCCCTGTTCGCTGCTGACAATTTAGCGCTTTGATCAAGCCCGCCTTTCAGTGGAAACGATCTGACAAAAAAGCATTAATATCGCCACTCGATGTAGAGATCTTATCGGGGATCAGCCGAGCGGATGTGGCGTAGTGTTAAAGATGGTGTCAACTGGGCACCTAGAAACTGGGATCAAAATGGGGTTCTTTCAAGAGCAGAAGGCATGTTTCTTCGGCTTTTTTTCTTCGCTATCGAGCTAGTCAGCACCTTGTCTATGTGCGAACCCCTAAGCCACTATCTGTGACGGCGAATGATCGCGGATTTTGCCTGTGAGTTTCCAACCCAGGTACACATAGCTGGAGCATTCAATGATGTTCCTTTCTGCGAGCGAGAATGGGGCTAACGACGTCGCCAGCAAATCGTCGTCCTGTCTTCTGCTTGATGACGATCTGTGGAATATTGGAAATCCTATTGTGAAGTTGCTGCATAGAGCACTATCTTTGCTTACTGGGTAGGTACACCCCGTACCCTGCTTTTTCAAAGCTTCGATAATCGCTTCTGGCTCATCGAAGTCACAGGCCTTCCTCAGGTCGATGAATATGAGACATGACAACATCTTAAACTCTTCTCGCTGCTTCGATAAACTTCGTGCCGAAACAGCCTTGATTGAATCGGATCAGTTGATTCTGGCTAACTAACACTCGTGTTAACTGAATAAAATCCACTCCAGTTATGCTAAGTTGTCGTCCCAGGAATATTTCCGTGTACAATCTATGTTCATTTATTATATTTCAGTCTTCATCTTTGAATCTCCTCGAAAAGTTTCCACTGGTCTGCAAAAACTATGCAGAAGCGAATAAGGCTCTAGGAGACATCATCAAGGTAAACCGGATTCTTAGTTCATCAATCTAATAAATATAAAACTGGGGAATACTAGTTAAGAAGAAGCGTTGTTGGAAATTCGGCCGTGAGCGCGGGGAAAGCTCAAAGTCCAGAACATTTGTGACTGCACCGGCATTATGGTGGACAGAGAGTACAA